TGCGTCGCCTAGTATAGTAGTCTCTCACACATTCCCTTATATATTTTCATATCTCCATAGAGGTTCAAAGCTAAGGTACACAAAGAGTTGACCACTTTGCTCATCTTATACTCAAAAATCTTCTTGTTTCATCTCATGTTCTTAATGTCTCTACAGCTATGTCATATATAGAATCAATAATCAATACGTCTCCAATAGTAGACGCGTAAGTTTTACCAAACTAAGAAACATATCAAAGATTTCTTCATCAATAGTAACATGCGTAAGTTTTTCCTAACTAAGAAACATATCAAAGATTTCTTCATGTGAGCTATCCCTCATTTAATGCCAATACTATACAGTGAACATAAATTTATCAACTTATCCTATAAATTTCTCCGGCACCTAATATAATATCTAACAAATTATGAAAATCTAGATTAATATATCAAATCAAGTTAGAGTTAACAAACTTAATCCATGATGATTATGCAATACTTTATTTTTGCTAAAGCAAGAGTATGTATCAAAATAGTTCTAGTGGTTGAATCTTTCAGAATTTCAAGAGAATTGGAATTTTTTACTATCGATAAGAGTAAATATATACTAAAGTACAATTTGATGAGGTTAGTCATGAGGATTTGCATATAAGAATGCAAGAGAAATAAACTTATCATATACAATGATTTGATGGAATAACTTAAATATTGAAAGATTACTAACATCATATATAAACTATGGCTAATTGAATAGTTTTTAACACTCCTATATATAAAAACATATGAAAGCTCTTTGTGACAAATGAATGTTTGTTTAAATATGTTATTTTGAATCTGTAAACAAAACTTGATTGAGATTAATCACATATTTTTTTATGTAATTTTCTACAATCTCGTCTTTTAAACTATCAATTAGAATCACAAGGTGAATTTGTAATAAAAATTTTAAGTATGTTAGAAATATCTGAAAATAAAAATGTGTGTATCAATTTTAATATGAGCAACATCATCAAAAAAATTTGGAAAAATATTTTAATTTTTTCTATTGGACACATATAATCAACATATCAATCTTTTTGTTTGATACTAGAAAAATTAATTCATTGCCCAGGTTCAGCAGTAAAGTTCACACAATAACACACATAGATAATCAATTCACATGTATGTACTTAATCTTCAAAAAATTCATGAATAGTTGCATTTTAAAATGCCATATGATTGAATAATTAATAAAAAAATTAATTTTTCTTTTAAACTAATATGCCAAACAATAAATTTTTATTTATAATATTTAGATAATATTTTCAAACAAATTTATCTCAATAAAACCTTCTACACATAATTACACTATCCATGAAATGCAAATATTATGATTCTACTACTTCAATAGAATTATAAGATTAAAAAAATTTCTTGATAATTAAAAAATATATTTTTATATTTGCTTCAACCGAGAAGGAAGACACAAAGCGCCAACACACCGAGAACATCAATTACTATAGGGCTCCCTTCCACAAAGTGAACTACGCTAATCACAACTCTATTTAGCACAGAGTAAAATGGAAGCAATACAAGAAAGTATCAATTGAAGAATAGATGAATTTCTTCAACAAGGCAAAATCGACTTCCATATAGTACTATGTTGATATGGACAGCGATGTCATCAACGTGATTTTTGATAAGAACATCATGGACAATATCATCGGTAAACTTTTTTTTCTTTTGATGACGAGTCGAAAGCTTTACCTATGTCATCGTATCAACAATTTATGAAAAACATGAAACGCTTTCAGCTCTTACTCAATCACACCTCTTTAAGATTTTATTTTTTTCAAACTGCTGGTGTTATTGATCAACACAAAATATCATTCAACAATGCCAAGTTTTTTGGACTTAACGATCATCTCGTCAGCAAATATGTCAGAGTAGGTGCCGTCATCAATATGCAACGCATCTCTAATGTGTTTAAATTTCAACAAGTTTGAGTGTTTCTCTCGCTGCTGACAATTTTACTCATCGATCTTTTTGTATTTTAACATTCAAATTTTTCTGTGTGAAAATGGCCAATTGTACAACTTGCATTTGATGACGGTTTCGTTCTATTATCGACATACAACATACAACATTATTGCAATGATTCAACACATTTTTGATGCAGTACTTTCAAATTGGCAATGCAAAATTCTTGGTTTTATCATCAATTGCTTGAACACGATGACAGGATGGCATTTTGATGTTGTGACTTGAATCGACAAGAAGTCCAACTTCAATTTGATGCGAATTTGATGCGTGACTTATTAAGTCGACCTCGTCATCAAGGATAGTTGTCATTCGATGTATGATGGATTATTTTACGAGACTGTTCACAATTTCAGCATTCATATATGTTGTCAATCAATATACAGTTGGAAATGAAAAGAAATTGAAAAATATGAATTGATGAGTTCACTTTGAACTATCTATATTGTGGATGCTTCGACATTGTTGTCTTCTCCTAGTTTAGATTGATGAAAAGAATCTTGCTTGTGCTTCAGACGGACGGATGATGGATGATGCTAGTCGCAGTTCAATCATTACTTGAGCTTGTCAACGTCACTTTGATGATTCTTCAATCTCCAAATCTTATTTTGTCACATAAAAAAACCAGAATTAAAAGTTTGTATGTTCGCTTGATATTATCTATGAACATTGAACAACTAGATTCCAATCTAGAAATTTGAAAACTTGTCACTTGAGGAGTATATCAGTATGAAGCGTTTGATGATTCTTCAATCTCTGAATCTTATTTTGTCACCGTAGAAAATCAAGATTGAAAGTCTGTATGTTTGCCTGATGTTATCAATGGATAGTGAACTGTTGGACTCCAATATAGGATTTGAAAACCTGTCGCTTGAGTAGAATGTCAGTGTGGAGCGCTTTGGAGTCACAATCAACAACATGAAGCGTCACATTTGTGGTCAAGGTTCATGAGCTCATGCTTTGTTGCAAGGTTTAGATATGATTTATTGAACATCCATTTTGAAAGGTGTAGCTTTGTTTGGATTGAAATTAACGAACGGAATGACGTGCATTAAAGCCAAGCGTGACCGTGACAACCTTGCGATTGACAATTTCGCTCCGCCTGTGATGTCGCGCAAACTGGTGAAGTTGAAATCATGTGATTATATCAACAATGTGCTCAATAAGTATCAAGCACAACTAACTAAGTCTTAGTCCGTTGACGAGATTGAATGTGTAGAGAAAGATCAACAAACATTGTGCAACGCTTACCGACGAGATTCTAAGTCAAACAATTATCGAAAACAAGGACTACATCACATCTTTCAACGAGGGATGGGATGCTTTGTGGGCGGATCAATTTGTTGCATTGCAAATGTTTAGTGATGGATTGACAAACGCTTTTGCCAATACGACCAACGTTGAATCTAATTTCAGCATATTGAAATGGTAGAAGGACAACTTTTGATAGGCCATGATGAATCTACATTGGAAGGCATTTCCAAACAAAACAGCGTCGTATAGTGATGAAATTGAAGATTATTGATCCTTTTTAGTGAAATAGCGAGTAACACTCATGTACAGAAACTCTGTGATGTATCGAATAAATATTTGCAGACTGTCTTTTTGCACCTTTGATTTGATGTTTGCATTGATGCATTGATTGAACAATTGAGCAAAGTAGTACAATGAGTATTGATACATAGAGTAGATTGCAGTCATATCTAAGACGATAAAATACAGAATTGAACCTCGTTTTGCAACCACTAAGTAGTACTCTCTGATTGATTCGATTTCTTTTTCATCATGTCGTGTTTGTCATGAAATTGAATAGAATTGGGTCATATTATAATCATTGCTATTGTCTAATCATGTGGCAATATTTAAGAATTTTGGATGTCAATCTAACCTATATTTGTTAAATGTGGCGTCTGTCAATTCCTAGAAGTCCTGCTCTAATGGCAATAATGACAATTTCAAATATAAAGTTGAAGTTACAATTCCTATCATGATCACAATAAAGAGAGGTGAAAATGTAAAATGTGACTTATGTTTATTTGAACACATATCTTAAGAGTTCACTTCTTTATGGTTGCAGCAAAATAATTTGCTACATATTTTATTGTTAATTGTTTTAAGGATCCAACTTTTTCAAATCTTGGCCAGTGTATCAACGGACGACTAGCTCTTTGGAGGTGGAAGAGCAAGTTATTTGAAAGTTCTGTTGATAAAGATGACTCAAGAAACAAATATTTGATCAAATGAATGATTGCCCAAAATCATCTTTGATGACTTGACCGTCATCAAAGATGGTATCTTGACATCATAACTTTGAACTCAAGTGCTTGCACTTGCAGTATGTTGTGTATCTTGACATCATAACTTTGACCTAAATTGCTTGTACTTGCAGTAGGTTGTGCTATTCCAATAAAGACTTGACAATGCTAACATCATCAACATTGTCGTGGCCACAACAATACAGATTAACAAATGAAGTAGATCTTGCAGCTAAACAACACACTTATAGTCAGTAATGGGAATCGTGGAACGGTAGATAAGGAGTATGCGCACTTACTGCTTGTTAGTGGCATCTTCCAATAATGTCATCCAACTTGAGCACCAGCATAAGTCGCATTTGGGAGGTTATACTCTTTACTCTTCTTCCAAAGGAAAAAGCATTACTATAATATCATTTTTTGAACATTATTTTTACATAGGTTTATTCTCAAATGGTAAAGATCACTTAGAATTCAAGAAACATAGTACATATTGTTTAGGATGTACTATGAGGAACTAAATAGTTAAAACTAACACAGATTTTATGATGAGAATACACGCCACCTCAACTCCATGTATAAGTCTCATATGCCAAACCACAATCTTTACACTTCACATCAAGAATCATTTAACCCCCGCAATCTTAAAGTTATTTTTAGAATATTGACTTCCATAACTGATTTCAAGTGGAAAAAAGGTAAGGCAATCTTAAAGACTGGCAAAACAATAAAAGACCCTTTTCATATATGAGACTAGCAAAAAACCACACAAAATAATGAAGTCAGCAATATTAATCTATAAACTTTTAAGTGGTTATCATGTAAATATATGTAGCAAGGAAACGGGCAAAATTGCAGAAACCGAGGGAAATATCTTATTGGGAACCATGCTGGTGAAGAGATGCCGGGCTCACTTCCGGCCCGTCGTCTGCGCATCGCATGGCCTTCAACGCGAGGAGCTGAAGCCGCGCATGGACGAATAGCGAGAGCGCCGGGGGCTTTTCCGATCGAACGCTCGCGACGGAAGATCTTGACTTGTTGCGAGGGGCAGGGGCTTTTTCGCTTTTTGGGAGCTTCGAATGTCGACGAGGATCGAACAGGGCGACGGTAACATGATGCGAAGGCTCAGCTTTAAAGCCTCGTTCGGCCTTGCCCTCGCGCGGCCAACATCAGCACCAGCAGCGAGGTCCACGATGGTGGCCACCGCTTGGCAACACAGTCACGGACGTCCGAGCTTCGAACCATTATCCTTCATATTCCCTTCACCTCGGCCGTCCTTGGCCTCGACTCATTCATTCATTTATTCAATCGTCCGTCTGTTCCTCGGGTCATTCACGCAGTCGCAGTGCGTCTTCCGAGTCCAGCCAACGTGAGTAAGGCCAGTCCGTGTGGCCTTGTCCGGAGCACTCGCAAACATTTGATCAGTTGGACAAACATATCGAGCATGGATATTTTGTGCAAGCTCGGGGAGCGTGAAATAGGACACTTTTGGCATCCGATCTGGCCGAGCGCTCGTTCGGGGTCTCGGGGATGCTCGTTATTCTATTACAAAGGTCGCAACGATACGAGCGCCCTCGGAAGCACCTCCGACGATTTTGTCATCGTCAACTGTTGAGTTGCCGACTTTCGTAAACTTGTATATTCGAGCTCCGCCCACCAACCACGTGTCATTCAGATTCAGCTCACGAGTTGTATATGTGATACGGTGAGCCCCAATTTAATACTCCTTAATCTGCGATCGCCCTCGGTCAACTAACAGCGACGCTGGCGATGGCGATGATGATGCGGGCGAGATGCCATGGCATGGCATGCAATGGGCCTACCGCTTGATCTGAGACCTGGTCCCTCCTTGGCATGTAACGGGCTGGCTGCGTCGCATTAACCCCATCGTCGTATATACAATCGACCTCGGCCCGGGTCACGCATTTCCTCCCCCACCCCCCCTCGCCGTCCCAGATTCTTCGATCTCGAAATTGAATGAATCCTGCCTAAATTAGAGGCTGCTTTCGAGTTCCGAGCTCAAGAGTGCAGTGCACATTTTGACACTTTTCCCCTCCCTTCTTACTTCCCTTCCTTCCTTCCTTAGACAGGAGGGATTTTCCCTAAATCGAACGCCTCTGAGTTCACGCGGGTGTGACAGTTCTCACCTGGGTCGGTTGGCTGGCTCGTTGGACGGATCCTCCTTCCGTTCAGTCCGCCCTCGTGTCTCTCGGACATGGACGATGAGGAGATTGCCATGGTTGCGAAAAGATTTTTAACAACACTGTCCGCCTCCATGACTGCGTTCACTTCGCAGCCCGTCCCGTATTCGAGGACGCGAGCGGAGAGCGGACCCTTTCGCGTGCTGTATCTACTGCAGCTCGTTGAAACCTTCCGCCGCTGCTTCCTCGTAGAAAATACTTTCTGCCATTCGGAAGTGACTGTCTCTCGGCTGTGAGCCTGAGGGTCATGTCATGTCGTCCACGATTTATAATCTCCTTCTATTTGGGGGCGCAATGCGGGTCTAGACTTTTCTCCATCCCACTCGGACGGTTTCAGAATCCATTGCCAGTAACAAGTTTGGCGCACGAGAAAGTGCAGTACGGTACTGTACAGGATCTGGAAACTCGAAGGCTACGCATAAGCGGAACGCTACATAACGAAATCCACGGCATCGAGAGGTTCGCGCACGCTGATTTATCGTGTGAGGAATGAATGAGCGAAATGTGGGTGCGCAAATTACAAGGCGGCGAATGGAGGGAAGAGAGAAGAAGAAAAGATGCGCCGTAAATAAGAAGAAACAGAACGGTGCTAAACCCCGGGGGGAGCCCCAGACAGCCAGCCCAGCCCAGCAGGGTTTAAGCGAACAGATGAGCGCCTGCCTCCGGTCGGGCGCGAACAGAGTAAGACGGGTGGTGCTTGCTCGCTGAACAGTCCCGGATAGAGCAGGTCAGAGGCGGGTCGGTGACCGGGCCCAGGCGGCAACCGCTGCTCGCCACGGCACCGCATTCGGACCGTAACGCGTTCCCGAAAATTAGCCGCCGCGCAGGCTCTGGACATGGCCCTAATGGAAGCGCTCGTTGCCATGGCTGGCTGGCTGGCAGGCAGGCAGGCAAGCAGCCATCAACTTTCCCGTGCGACACAAAGAGAGGGAAGTGTGTGTGCGTGCGTGCGAGAAAGCGCTTTAGTTTGATGAACAAGATCGAGTCCGCGAAAGAGGAGACCGGGCATGACTGGACGCGATGCCGTCTGAGCCGTCCGAGCCGACCCTTGCTGACCTCGCGGAAATGGAGGCCGAGTATGTCAATTCCACTCGTAGATAATGGATTGCAGGAGTTTGACGGCCGATTTTGTTTTCGTCGACCGCTTGTCTGCAGCACGGCCCAGGCCCCCGCTGGATCCGCTGGATCCGATCTGAGAGCAAGAGCGCGAGCTCGCTGAATATTCATCGCAGCGATCGTGCCGGTGTGGCGAGCACGCCATGTCATCCAGCCATGTCAAGGACGCAAGCAGACGGGGCAGCGCAGGTGTAAACAAAAGGCAGATGTTGGCACATTTTATAGTCTGCGTCGATCGAAAAATATGCCGAAAGCGAAGAGCGCTGCTATTAAAATATAATACTCCCCTCGCCCTCCCCAGACTTGCCATGCACTTCCCGTTAATGCAAGTCAGTCCATGTGCATGAGAAAGCAACGAGCTGAGTGGGTCCGGCCCCGTCTCGTCCCGTCCCGTCCCTTCCTGTCCCGCCCCTTGATTGATTTGCAGCTTGTAACTCCCTCCCCTTGCCTCCGCGCGCTTACTTCATGGTCCCACCGGCGGACCTGTAATATTTTGGTGGTTTGTTGTCGTCTGGAACTCGTAGTGGGAATGATGTGTACTAGATAGGGCTTGACTTGTATTTTTGCTGCTCGAGAGATGTTGCGAGATGCGATGGAGTGCGAGCAAAAGGGGAGAAGCAGGTGGACTCGAGTGGGTCCCCCGCGGGCCGAGAAGGAGAACCATCGCAGCAATACCTGCTCGAAATCTGCTTCGCCCCCCCTCATTCCCACTTATATAAAAATGGAAGCCAAATGGCTGCTGCTGCTGCTGCCGCTCGGACCGTAATCGCAAGTTCGGTTTGGCATGGCATGGCATGGCATGGCTGGCTGGCTGGCTGGCGTACTCAAGCTGCTCACCCGGCACGGTTACCTGTGAGCCGAGAGAGCTAGTTGGTGAGATTATACAGTGGGAGCAGGAGGGAGGAAGGAAGGAAGGAAGGGAGGGAGGGAGGGAAAAGGAGGAGGCTGCTGTTGCTGTTGCAGCGTCTTGAGAAGTTTGGGTCTCTGGGATTCTCTTTGTGGCAATCTGACAGTGTATGATGTGGTGTGGTTGTGATGGAGTCCGAAATCCGCAAGCTCGATTACGACCACCGAAGCATGATACAGATACATGGATAAAACAAACCTCACAATGAATGAAAGCCCTGAGGCTCAGACAGTCTGAACGGAAGAGCAGTTGAGGGACTAAGCAGCTAAGGAAAGTCCCACTGTAGGCAACATCTGAAGTTTTCGGACACAACTGCCAATCTTATCTCGTTCCCACAAGAACCTCATCCCATGAAATAGATAGACAAGATGCCGGTGCAGCAGCAGCAGCAGCAGGGGCTTACGTCCCATTTGTGCCGGTCGTATAAAGTGCAAGACGAGCACAAAATCCTGGGCCTCTCGCCAATCAATCAATCAGCCACTCAGGCATCAATCAACTTTTGGTGGCACATACGTCGTGCAGTTGCAGTCCCGTCCAGCTTTTGAATGAGTGAGTGAGTGAGTGAGTGGATGAGTGAATGCCCCTGGGGCTCGGAGAGTCTGAGCGGAGCGGAGCGGTTGAGAGACTCCGGGAGGAAAGTCTCACTGTAGGCAACATCTGAGGTTTTCGGACACAACTGCCGGTCTGATCTCGTTGTCACAAGAACCTCAGCTCACGAGATAGATAGACAGAATGCCGGTGCAGTAGCAGGGGCTTACATCCCATTTGCGCCGGTCGTATAAAGTCCAAGGCGAGCACAAGATCTCGGGCCTCGCCAATCAATCAGTCAATCAATCAATCCCTCAATCAATCAGTCATCAATCAACTTTGTGGCACATACGTCGTGCAGTTCCTTTTGGGAATTAGCCGGCCCTGTGCAAAGTGCCACTGTAGTGGATTTGATTGCTTGGCGCAAGAGCGGCGAGAAGACGAACAGGACTCATCGGTGATGTGGAGGAAGGGAGGGAGGGCCCGAGTCGAAATGCCCGAGTCGCAGGACGGGCCAGGGCGAGATTGCGCCTAATGCGAGCGAGGACGCTCACGAGCTGCTGACCCAAGGCAAAATATCAGGAGTTATAGCGGTGGTGCATGATACTGATGACAACAGTGCATGATGTTTCTATTAAAGGCTCATGACATAAGGCAGTGACTTCCCGTTCCAGTGACCTAACTACAGTCTGGAAATCGCCATGGATGATCTCGCGCCATGGTTGGATGCATGTTCATAGAAGTGTGAGCCGGTCCGATACCGTCCATCCATCGCCGAGTTCAGGAGAAAAGAAACATTTATGGGCGCAGAAGAGGATGGCATATGCAACCTATCCCAACCTTTCTCCCACCCAAGTGAGTTAGAAATGAGCATTTCGAGAAGTTCGCCTCTCTTCGATGCCAGACATCCCTCGCCGCATCAATTGGACAAGAGCGGAGCCCATTTATGGCGCGAGTTCGAGCAGAAGTAAGGCAACATCGTCCGTGACAGCAAGCTGTCGAGAACGGGGATGCCTACTTCTGCGAGGAGCAGAGGGTTCAGCAACAATGCTCCTCAAGACTACTCTGTATGGACCCTTTCTCGAAGTAAGACAAAACTGAACCATAAAGTGGAGGCCCCGATTAAAGAAAGCGGTGGATCATTGACCCGAAGAATATCACTCGTCAAATTCGATCGCGCTGCCCTGCCCTTGTCATCCGAATGTCAAATGGTCGGTCAAGTAGAGAGAGGTCAAGCATTCATGACTCCTGGTGACAACGTGAGTTCAACTCAATCATCTACGACCGGACCTTCGAGCCATAATGCCGACTGTAGTGCTTATGGACAAATCATGGTCCCACGAAGCGGTTCACCGATACCAAATGGAAACGAGTGGTTGGGTCATCGCCCGACGCCGTTCCGATTCTTCCGAACCTTCAATCAATGTCCCCCCCCTTTGACAGACCTCCCTTGTCAGGTTTTAACGAAACTTCACGATTTTGCCCGCCCCCCCCGCCTCCATCGACCCACCGTCTCCTCGAGCAAGTGCTGTGCAGTGCAGCTCGCACAATGCCCTTGTGAACTCGTTTCTCCTCCCACTCCATCGCTCCAGCTCATGCTCAGCACACGACGGACATGTCCCCATTTCTCCTCTCCTCTCCTCTCCTCGCCCTCGCCCTCGCTCTCATCTCAATCTCACCTCGTTCATGTGCTCCTACCGCCGCCCCAAATTCCTCATCATCATGCCATTCCCCAGAAATTCTTGCATCTTTCGCTGCCCTGCGACTGAAAGGGATCGGCAAGGAATGGCAAGGAAGGGAATTGGAAATGGAATGAAGGAATTCCTCGTGGCGGATCGCCCCTCGATTCCTCCGAAAAGAGCCGATGGTCAGCGATAACATCATTCGCAATCTGCAATCAATTTCACGAGTCTCAGATCTCTGGAACATCAGTTTGTCCTAAAGCATCGGTCTGTGTCATCATTATCATCACTCCATTTGGCTCCGCTGTCTTGCTCGGTAATCAATTTGTCTCTGGAACCAACAGTCGCACCATTTTGTCCCTTTGATTCTCATGTTTTTTAAGGCCAGCCGAGCCGCTCCGCTCCGGGATAAATATATATTAGTCTATGGCAAACTCTTGCCATAGACTAATATATATTTATCTAATTATATATCTCTGGGCATATTTTTCTCTCCGAAGTCCTCCGTATTTTCCTTAGGACCTATCTTAAGACATATCTTAAGGAACTTCTGCAAGGAAAAAATATCTGCGAGCCCTCTCTGAAGTAGGATAGGAGAATGCCACCTGCTGCTGTTGTTGTCATGATTGTTGGGCTACTCTTGAGTCCACTGAGCTGTTACGCTCTCTGTTCATGGGTTTATGGGGTGTCGGTTAGAAAGTATCATGTGCACTTTTTGGTTATAATTACCCCAAAATGTCTATCCATGCTCTTTGTCTTTCAGGGGTTCAGATTGGAATGATGATATAGTTATTATTATAATATGAGGATAAGAAGCCAAGCAGTGAAGAAGATAAGAAAGGTGGAAGATATATACAGCAAAGAGGTCAGATGGATCTCATCAATCCTTACATGGATGATACCAAAAGGGGAGTATGAGGCTAGCCCCAATAGCATGACAACAAGAAATATGCCATACTACACCTAATATTTCCCATTTAACTAGGCCATCTAGTCTACATATTACATGAGACTACTATCAACCCTCACGTCATCTATTTCATAAATTCTTGCTCTCTTTACATCAATGGCAACATGTTGCTGAAACAATACTATACAATATGACCAAAAAAGGTGCTTTCATAAAAAATCTCAGGGACAACATAGATATTGATAGTATCTATGTAGTAGTAAAATATGTGATTATTGATAATCACCTATTTCTCTTGATAGAATGCAAATGACTTTTCATAATACAACTTTTATTTGAATCTATAATCACATATACTACTTCCATCACATGATATCTCCTAAGAAAGTATAGGTTGGTCATAATTTCAATTGACTACAAGGTTGGTTTTAAACTCTTGATGTCATATCATGACAAAAGAAATTACATTTATAACATACTTTATGACATAGGAAAGTTATATATTGCCTTTGGAACAGAATACTAGTCATATAATAACAAGTAGATAAAAAGTAATATCATGCACACAAATGAATAGCAAAAATAATAGAACTAATTCAACTCAGAAATTCATCTCTTTACAAAAATTAGCCTGCGCTACGAGTGAAAGTCCAAATGCATGGTAGTCAAGATCCAGAAGCATGCATCTTTTTCAGAGTAAGAGGTAGATCAGCCCTAGTATTCTAATAACTTATCTCGCATAAGTATTAAACACGTTGGTCCTCATTTCTATTCTATATGCCAGGTTATTCCATGCAAAGAAACTTAGAAGAAACTTAGAAATATACATGCAAAATTGCATAGATGCTGAATCTACATAGTTTTTGCAGCATTATCTCTTGCAAACAGCCTTTCGGCTCTATTATGTAATAAAGAAGTACCCAATTGCATGATCTATGCCAAACATTGAGGTCATGGTACAATTTTAGTGATTTTGATGTTCGCTTAAAAAGCGTCCAACCGCATTGTTCAACCGTCATATCTCCACAAACATAAAGCTCACACATGAACAGTTTGCCACATAGAATATTGCAAAATTTTGAGTTTTCAAATTTTAACACTAAGAGTGGCATTATAAAAAATGAGGCATTAATAGTTGTAGATTTTTAAATTTTTAAGTCTAAATCTTAGAAAGTCATATAAAAAAATCTCAATATACAAAATAGTTCTATTACATGGATGCATGCAATCTAAAACTTAAACTTCCTTCTTGCGTCAATTATTCAAAAGTTGAGAATTCTTTATCAATAATTGCAAACAAATTTGTATTATTTAAAATATGAGTTGATCCAAGAGAAGTCTCATAGATTCTATGAGGATCTGGAAATCTCAAAAACTCTCTAAACCTTCAAATTGTCTCAGAATTGGATGCAAAACTTTTGTGTGCAGTAAAGATTGAATCAAAAGATTTGAGGTGAATCAGCATTTGCAGACAACAAGATGGCTTAGGCTGCGATATCTAAATTCTGCTAAAATACTCTAACAATTGTAGACCTGTGATTTCTACAGCATGGATGAGATAAATACAGACATCTAATCTAAAAACGCGAGTCATATACAACATGTCTTTGTTTGTATCGGTTGGTTTAAAAAGGAATAAAGGCCAGTTTCCATTGACTTCACAAAAATATGCCGACTGAAGACATACGCTAAGCCCTTTAAAAATCTCCGCGGTGTTTCAAATGATTGTCCAAAGACCACTTCAGTTTTCATGACTAGATAATCAAGAAATCTTTGATGCAATCTGGCATTTTTTTAAAATAGATAAAAAAATCTGGATGATTATAAAGAATAGCAGGCCGCAAAGTTTTATCATTTATGGACAATTATGTTATACATATGCTAAAGCATCAAGTTGATGCTTTACAATATCAATTTTCTGATTTCACTTCTCAATATCACGCCAAAACTATGACCAATAGAATATGGTATCATTGCAATTTCGAACACTGTATCAGTTATCACCGCTTTCGTTTTGAATATACATTTGATGGCCAGGAGCATAACTTACGAAACCTTGTCAAGTTTGATTAGGTGAAGGCGATGCAGTGGTAATTGTTGCGTGACATAACATATCACATGAGTAAAAGTGCAATTTTTTCTCATATTATTCTTCTAGAAGTAGTGGAAACGGTGCACAATGTTGCTTGTGCATTGAAATCAAACACAGTGAATGTGGACACCAACTAAAATCTAAGAAAAAAATTTCATTATCATACTCTGGCGAATCCTATATTTAAATTGCATACTAAATCTCACCTAGAACGCTATGTACTTCAAGGACAATGATCTCGTGCGATGCTGCGACAAGAGTAATGAGAATTAGAATGTTGGTAGGAATGCTAGATTTATAAAGTCAAGCAAGTATTTTCAGTGTTATTTCAATTTTCTAACTTAGACTAGTAGCCATCAGTTTATTTATAGAACGTTCAGCTGGTGTGATACAATTATGAGAGCAATAGAAAAGAAAGCTGGTAAAGTGCTAAAGACAATAGGATGAACAAGCCTGAAATATTCACAAGAATATTAATGTCATTTCAATTTTTGATCTTAATCAAATAGCACACCATTTTCTTTACAGAATCTTGAAAGCCACTCAGCTGGTGCAATACAACCATGAAGGCAGTGAGAAAGAGAAAGTTGGTTTAACAAAAGCTAGTGCGATGCAACAATGACAGCAATGAAAAAGAGAAAGTCGAAATAAATGCTGAAGACGATGGGATGAGCAAGCCTAAAAAGTGCATTTTCATTTTGTATGTTTTTTCAATTTTAATCTTTGTAAAGTAGCACATCATAAATTGTATAGAACCTTGAAAATCAGTCAGCTCATGCAACGCAATGATGAGAGCAATGAGAAGAAAAGTTGGTAAAAATGATGAAGACAATAGGATGAGCAAGTTTGATATGTTCTGTAAGAATTTTATGTCATTTAAATTTTTGATCTCGGTAAAGAATTACAAATCTTTCTTCATAAAATCTTGAAAGCAATTCGATTGAAGCTCTTTTACGAAAATCTATATCAAAGCATACAAAAAAATAATTGCATACTCAAACTTCATTCCTTTATGGGGATTTGAAGCTGACTAAAAATATATTATAATATGAATATAAGTTGAATATGTTTGTCTTTTTGGAATTTTTCACTTTCTAATTAACACTTTAGATTCATTACTTCACCCATCCTTTTGAATCTGATGAGTATGAGAAGTAATAGCCAAAGTATTGCTTATAAGATTTAATATTGTACTCATACGACAGCGTAAATGTATCAACCATAATCGCAAAAATTAATAAAAAGACCATAAAGCTATTGAATTTGATCAAATACGATTTTAGTTCAATCTATAAGAAAAAGGTTGAAAAGATAATATTAAGTAATACCTATGTACAAAAAAAAATTTGAAATAATATTACATTTAAAAAAAATTTGTGCATGTATCTTATACATATATACATTTTAATACTAAATAAAAGAACAAATTAAAAATTAAAAAACTTATAAAGTGTTTTATAAAGCATCTAAAATTTCAAAAATATATGTTTTTAAACATATTCCTTATGATATTGATTTCTAAATTTTTTGAAGCTTAGTAATACATTATTCAAATATTAAAACTTTTGAATTTAATATTATCTAATTATTTATCAGCCTACATGAAGA